GAGTTTATAATAAGAATTAAAGAAGAAATATAAATCTATTGCCTAATAGGCAAACTACAAGTATGCTTTTAGAAAAAGATGCTCAACTGATGAAGCAGTAACATACTCTAGGGAATCAATAGTCACATCAATATATATTGAAGGAAATCCTAGTTCGTTAGTTTTGTCCTCACTGAACAACAGTGGCATTCAAGTGTAACAGACTTAAGAGTCTCGGATTTAAAGTGATAACCAAGGATCTACCTTGGATCACTTTAAATCCGAGACTTTTAAATCTGTGATAATTGGTGGATCACTTTATCTCTACCTTGGAGATAAAGATATCACACCTTGAAGCCCAGTGAACTTCCAGCTGCACAATATCCATCCATTTGGCATTAACTGTACTACAAAAACATGCAAAATTTAAATACAGGAGAAAAAAAAAAAAAAGCTATTTTCTCAATATCTGTGACTCCTTACAAAACACTTTACTGAGGTGAAAAGTACTCTTTGATTTCAATGGAAAGTCCAAGTGCTTAGCTCTATCTGAAGCAAAGAAAGAGGGAAACAATTCCTTACGTCCTTCACATTACACAGCTATGAATCTAAAGGCAAAGCAAATAAAATGCATGCTGACTTTTTGATGTGGTAGCATCAGCTCCAACCTCACTTCCACTATAAGCAACTCATATGCACAAACTTTAAAAATCAGCCATTATACAAATTGACATTCTGGCAACATGTTGGCTAAAGGAAAACATTTCCCACCCCTCCCAGCCCCGTGCCCACAATCACCTTTCCTTACTTGTTCTGTTCCTCTATTTCCCAAGACTGCCTGTGCTATTTATTTCCTTACTGAAAAATGGTTCAATGTGCCTTCCGAGTTTTCTACTATATTTGGGATCATCTTAAAATGTAAAATAATTCTCCAGCCAATTCTACCAACATGCCTCGCTCACACACACTCCTCCTATCTAACCTCTGCAGAAGATCAAGTTCAAGCCGGCACCAAGTTTAGTCCTGACTCAAAAGCTACTATGAGCTATGGCAGCACAGGTCAAAATTAGCATGGTCGCCTGAAGAGTTGAAAGGCTTCCTACCTAGGGCAACGACAATAACAGCAGCAGAAGGAATTTCCACCCCCACCACTCATTCCTAACCTCTGTATCATGCACTTGGTCAGATAAATAATGTTACGTACATCTGGCACATGATGAAAGCCGTATCTTGATTACAAGTACACTTTATATGAAGTATTAGGTAGGCACTGACAGCCCTAAGAAGTGGGGCAGGGAAAGCAGACCTGCTGTAGTTTAAGTTCTGTCCAGTTATTTTTGTTGATCTCGGCCAAGTGGCTCAATGCAGATCATACTAGGTACCTCCTGCAGAAAAGAAAACTGAAACCACATCTCCCAAGCGATTCTGGCAACTGGCCAGAAGATCCTCCTCTTTGCAAGCACAAGTCTCATTCCATGTACTGTCTTTTAGTTCACATCCATACAGAACAAGTGAAAACTTCTCACAGCTCCAGCATATCCAGGATTAAGGCAAGGTTGTCCCCGTCTGTCACTCAGACCACAGACAGCAATCTGTGAGAGAGGGCCTTGGCGCTGGCAGGCTTCATGTCCACCACCGGTCATTATAGAAACCTGTCACACCACTTCCAGTGTGTGTTTTACTTTCAGTGCAATACAAGTTACTCTGCGAGTGAGTGGCCACAAAAGACATAACCAGCACTGTGTTCAGCTTTCATTTTTATGTGCCTATCTACAGGGTTCAAGATTTTGAGGAAACATACAGCTACTAAGAGTGTCAGCAGATTATGGGCAATCCTGATTTCCCTCCCCCACCCCCAACCGAAAAAACCAAGGAAACAAAAGAAAAGCAATAGCAAAGTATTAATAATTCCTATCCACTATAAAGCATAGCTCTACTAGCAGAGGAGAAATACTTTCTTATGCTTTCCCTTGGGCCCTTCTGTACAGCTAACCAATTCCACTAAGCACCTTCCAAACGAAGATGTGACAGAGCAATCCCAGTTACAGGGAGAAGAGGAGGTAACTTTGGAACAAAGATGAACACCAAAGCAGTCACTCTCTAGCTGCTGTAGAATGCAGGAAAATTAAACAGCATAGCCAACTTTTGAGATGTGCCTTCCACAAAAAGGGTGGAAGACATCGCACCATCTAAATAACAATCCAATATATGAACAAATGGAACAGAACTATAAATTTTGTTTCTCAGGAAATTGCTTCCCTCCTTTAATGAAACTTCCTTCTCTCCTGAGAAAATACATGTCCTGAAGCACAGTGACCACAAGCTTAGTTGCGTACACAATGAAGATTTGCCTTAATAATTAACTCCAACTCTTTTTTTAGCTTAACCAATTCCTTATTCAGAACAGTTTTCTTATAAACAAGCACTCATTCATTTGTCATATTAACTACCTAACTCTATTAATCATTAACTTCAACAGATTTGGCATGTTTACTTGGCTCAGGCTACTGTTTAATATTTCATTTGGGTATTAACTTCATATAAAACAGTGTAATAGGCTGCATCTATTTTACTAGATATGTATCTTTACATCACTTGGAATGTATCTGTATCTAATGTCTTGCCTTAGTGATTTGTTCAACAGTGGTTTCTCCAGTTTTATAAAAGGGCTGAAGCATAATCCTCATGTTAGAAGGATGTGTCATCCACTGAACACTGGTAATTTATTATGCTGAAAATTTATAGCTGCTGGTAAGTGTTAGATTATTCAATCAGCAGACAACAGGCAACACCGTCACTTGTTTGCACAGTATATGTTACAAATAGCGTTAAAGGTAATACATAAGTAAAGTTTACATGAGATGCAAATACCCAAATAATTAACACATCATGAAACCTTACCACAGTGGGGTTCTTGGGGTGGGGGAAGTTGTCTTGTCTGTTTCAAGTTTATACAGTTCTGTAGTTTAAACAACGAGGGGGAACTGGCAAATACAAAGAAATGAGAGGCAAGAATACATTAAATAATTTCTAAAATAGCTTTTATGTGGAAACATTTAAGGCTTCTGTAGATCTGTATTAAAACACAAACTTTGTATCCATGCATAAAGAGCAGAAGAAAGAAAATGAAACCAATCTTTCTGTAGAACATTGCTAATACTGTCTCTTGTTTGGGAGAAAAGATTGGTTTGGAGATTTATTTGTTTAAAATGTAAGATTTTCACATCTTAGGAAAAAAACCAAACCACCCATGTCTTTCATCATTGCAATTAGTCTGAGATGACAAATCCCAAAGATTGAAAAAGTAGAACTTAATTAAAAGAAAAAAAAAATCCTATGTTTCCAATTCCTATTTGTAACTTTATTTGCTAATTTTTGCGCTTCAAATTGGCAAGGCTATAAATGCAAGGTTGTCTATAATAGGAAATGAGAAAGCGTGTCATATTCGTATTTTTATGCTACAACAGTCCAAGATGAAAAGAGCAACCGAGTAAAGGACAGATATTATCTTTAACCTGATAATCGTCTTTTACAACCATCAGGGATGACAGCTGTCCATTTACTTGTTACCAAGGAAACAATCCTTAATTTACACCAAATTTCTCTACAACCTCCATCTATATTTATTGAGCATCCTCACTGGAAAAAAAAAAAAAGAATATGAAACAATGACGTTAGAAAAAAAGGTGTTATAGTACAAAATAGTCCAAAGGTTGCTGTAATTATTTCATTAAAGCATTAGGTAAAACAGCGGCACTAGATAAGTGCAGCCCACTGTCCTTGGCCCGTAGAGTGTCTGTCCACTCTCCTCCTGGGGCAGGGGAGGCATGCAGCACACGCACACGCTCGCTTTGCATCCAAAAATCCACAAAGCGTACCAAGACATTTCAGAACACGGCAAAGTGAAACTCATCTCAGGGGAACGGGACAACAGAAATACTCGACCGGTTGCTTGCTTTACTTTTAACAGGTGCTCTTATGACGTGAAATCGAAAAGCGTGCCCTGTGCGTAGTGTTGAGCAACGAATCACGCTTTCCTGGGTTCCTGCGTGTGCTACATCAGCATCAGACCATATCCTGAGCCCAACCTCCTTTTCTGCATCTAGAAGGAGGGCGGGGGGGGCTCACAGGCAGGAGATGGCACTGTCGATGTCTCGGGCAGGCCCGCGAAACCCGCCGGCTCCCCGGCGAAGCGCCGAGGAGCAAGTCAGGGATGCTGCGAAGGCCCGGCGAGGAGCGGGGAGCGAGCAGCCCTGCCCCCGGCACCGCTCAGCCGGGCAAGAGGCCGGCGAGGGAGCAGCGGATCCTGCTGCCGGCCCTCAGCCACAGACAAGGACGGGGAACAAGGCGGGGGGGGAGGCGGCACTGCCCCGGGAGCTGCGACGGAGGCCAGCTCAGGGCGAAGGGAGCGACGGACGGAAAGATGCTCGGGGAGCACCCCGGCACCGGGGGGAGCCTTACTGCAGAGAACGGACGCTCCCGCGCAGGTTTATTCTGGGTGGCCAGCCCGAGTACACACACACA